CCTCCTGCGCTCAGCTTTCTTGTTCTCTATTCTCTCTTCGTTTCTGTCTTTCTTTTGCCTTCCTTCTCTTTCTCCCCAGGCTCTGTCCCATCCCAAGCACCTTCCTTGGAAGGGCAGCCCGACATCATTAAAGTGCAATAACTTGATCATTTGCTGGGGAGTGAGGTGGGCAGAGGCCACGGTCTATCTTCCGTAGGAGCCTTTCCTGTGGCCCCTGGGAATGGTTGAAAGCTTCTCACCACCTGGAGCCCCCACCAGCAGCCGGCAAAGGCCTCTGCCTGCTGACCTGTGCAAGCAGTGGGGCCCACCCTGCTGTGGGGATTCACTCTTTGGGCACAGTTCTAGGCACAGTGAGATCTTCCTTCACTGTTGAGGGGTGACAGTAAGAGCTGCTATTTACATTTATAAATTAAATCTATACATCTGGATGTCTTCGTAGGTTAGAAGCTGTGTTAGATCCTGGGGGCATGGCCTTCCTATTTTGGCCCTCACAGCAGCCCTGCAAGGGACCCTGGGCAGTGATCACACTCCCGTTAGACAGAGGAGGAAAACGGGACTCAAAGAATGGGATTGCTCAGGGCAGGTCCCAGGCCAGCAGCTGGACATATGGCTTTTATCCTAAGAAGTTCATACCCTCAGCATACAATGTCCAGTCAGTCTGCTCAGGGGATTGCAAAGGGCTTCCGAGGAACCCGGATGTTCACAGACCTGTTCCAAAGCACCCTCCCACACCCCGCCGTCTTCCCCGCCAGACATCGTGCTTGTTTCCCAGTGACACAAATTGCATTTGCAGTTGTTTTCAAGAGGGGTCCAAGCCTACTACTATCCAGCACTCTCTGCACACATTGATTCTTTCCCCAAGTCACCAGACCTACTCATTCCCAGTAATCTTCCCCCCTAATTATGGCAATCATTGTCTGATTGCATGCTCCGATTATACAATTACATTTTCTCATGCTAATTGCATAATTAACACAAGCAATTTCATGAGAAAACATACAATTTCCAGGCTCCAAATGTGAATTGAGGGTCCAGTAAGGTACCCCCACTGTCCCTCCTGGGAAAGGCAGTGGGGGCTCCTGGGCACAGACACAGGGGCCAGATAGTGACCATCTCTCTCGGCTTCTCTAGGCACCACTAATTTTGAAGCTTCTGTCTTCATGGCCCAACTGGGACTCTCTAGAACAGGTAACCTGATTTAGAAAGTGTGACCCAGCAGATATGACTCTCTAAGCCCCAGTCACAAGGACACCTGCCTGTACATAGCCACTGGTCTTAGAGAAACAGAGCCTGAGCTGAGGCGCTCATGTGCTTCTAGAAGCTCAGGCCCAGTGTGTCTTCTGCAGTGGCTTCCAGTGTACTGGGCAAGGTCTGCCTGGGTGGATGGGTCTGAGGACGAGCCGCTGGAGGAAGGCAGTTGATTTTCATCTTTCTGCTCTGCTCAGGGCATCTCCCACGGTGTGGCCCCGATCCTGTCCATCTGACGATTTATCCACCACAGAGTCCTCCCCTCTAGAGGCTGGGAGTGCCCACATGGCCAAGGAGAAACCTCATTTATCTCCCTGATCCCTCTGCAGAGAGGCCCTGCAATCAGAGTCCACAGGTCTCCCCACATTGTATGTACAGGTACATTTACAAATTCTATCTTATTTCACATGCACCAGGGGAGCTGGCTATTTAAAGAAATGTTATAGAAGATCCTTTGGTAAAGACTGTCCTCACTTTCTGATTGATTTTTATGTAATTTTGTATTTTCATCTCTCTAGGGCAGGAGGCGGGGGCGAGAGAGAGGCTGCAGGTGGATTTATATCATTACACAGCCTGCCGCACTGGACCCGCCCTGCATGCCTCTGGATGGCTCAGTGTGTCTCAGTTTTATCTTCTTCATTTGACAAGCAGGTATTCGAGGTCTTCTGTGTACCAGGCTCATGTTGGAAGTGTGGGATACAAAGGCAGAGAAGACCTAGTCCCTGTCTCTGAGAGCTAATGAGGGAGACACAGATGCGTGCTTGGTGCATTCACATAAGTATGTTCAAGGGGAAGAATGCTTGCGTAGAGGGAGGTGGGATTATCTCTTCCCAGGGCTGGGGAAAGCAGGGAAGGCTTCATGAAGGAGGTGATTTCACCTCAGGAGATTTTCAACCTGAGGTTTTCTTTTTCCTTTATTTTTTATTTATTTACTTATTTATTTATTTTTTATTTTTAAGAGACAAGATCTTCTTATGTTATCCTGGCTGGTCTTGGACTCCTGAGCTCAAGCTATGTTCCTGCCTTGGTTTCTCAAGTGGCTTGGACTATAGGTGTGCAGTAAACCTGAGTTTTCAAAGATGCTTTGGAAGAGTTCAAATGGGACATGCAAGTAGAGGAAATGCAGGTTGGTGTGGCCACAGTGGAGGATGCCAAGTGGGAAGGCATGAGGCTGGGTGACGAGCAGGGCCCGGACAGAAGGCCAGTTTTGATCCCCAAAGCAGAGGAAACGGAACTGGATAGTGTTACTCAGAGGAGTCCACAACCTTGCTTTTTTTTTTTTTTTTTTTTTTTTTTGAGACGGAGTTTCCCTCTTGTTACCCAGGCTGGAGTGCAATGGCGCGATCTCGGCTCACCGCAACCTCCGCCTCCTGGGTTCAGGCAATTCTGCCTCAGCCTCCTGAGTAGCTGGGATTACAGGCACGCGCCACCATGCCCAGCTAATTTTTGTATTTTAGTAGAGACGGGGTTTCATTATGTTGACCAGGATGGTCTCGATCTCTCGACCTCGTGATCCACCCGCCTCGGCCTCCCAAAGTGCTGGGATTACAGGCTTGAGCCACCGCGCCCGGCAACCTTGCTTTTATTTCGGGAAGATCCCTTGGCTGTGGTATGAATGGACCCAAGGCGGTGGGACTGGTGGAGGACAGGAGCTATGGGCTGGAGGGAGTTGACAGCCTGAACCGATGGGCGGTGGGGATGCAGAGGAGGAGGAGCGGGCTTCAGAGGCATTTTCATGGAAGAAGGGAAGAACAAGGGGGCTCACTTAGTGGGGGAAAGGAGAGGAGGAAGGAAGGGAGGAAGAGACAGAGGGTCAGGGAATTCCTGACTTGAGAGCCCTAGTTTCCGTATGGACTAGAATATGGGTCACCTGGCAAGAGTGAACATGGGACTGGGGTGGGAGGTGAGGGCCAGCTGAGTCTGTGGCATCCATGGGTATTTTCATCAGCTGCCCTTGGCTTCCAGGTTCAGAAGACGGGGCAGAGCTTGCAGCCACCTTGAGGGGAGATCGGGGCTGGGGGCTGTGGGAGGGCAGGTCAGGGAAGTCTGAGCATGTTGATAACAGCATCGTGCCGCTGTAGCTTCCAGGCAGGTGGAAAAGGAGACGAGGTTAGGTGGGAGGGAGGGAGAGGGTGAGTGAGAAGAAGGTCAAAGTCGAGCACAGAGCTTGTGGGAGTGGAGGGGATGCCTGGCAAAATCAGCCCACCGACTGTGAGACATTTCCCAGGTCTTCTCCGAGGTTGCTCAATTCTAAAATGAGACAGTACCTTCCTCCCAGGCTTAAATGTGACACCATGTATAAAGGCCTTGACCCTGAAGGCCTTCAGCAATGTGTTGCACTGAAAACTGTCCAATGCAACAGAAGTTGCAGACCCAGAGGAGGCTTGGTCAGTGTCCTTTTCATATTCACCTTTGAGCTGGGGGTGCCTGCTCAGGGCCTGGCCCATAGAAGGCACTGAGCAGAGATTTGTTTAGGAGGCAACATGAGGTAATGGTGAAGACACGAGGGACGCTGCCTGTTTGCTGTAGGATCAGCCGAGCCTCACTTTCTCCTTGGCAGATGGAGATCATGGCAGTCCCTGCTTCACAGGTTGGGAGGATTCAATGAGGCAGGCCTGAGACTCAGATGCTGTTGGTGATCCTGCCCTATCCACTCAGCACCTCACATTCCTGAAGGCCCGATGGCTTCCCACTTTTCTCTGGTCACAGGTGCATGCTGAGCACACCTGTGGACCAGAAGTGCCAAAGAGGTAGCACTTCCATTGGCCAAAGACAGAAGTCAGAGCATAAAGACACTGCTTTGGCTGGGTGTGGTGGCTCATGCCTGTAGTCTTAGCACTTTGAGAAGCCAAAGCAGGCAGATTGCTTGAGTCCAGGAGTTCAAGACCAGCCTGGGCAGCATGGAGAAACCCCATCTCTACTAAAAATACGAAAATTAGCCAGGCATGGTGGCATGCACCTGTAGTCCCAGCTACTCAGGAGGCTGAGACAGGAGAATTACTTGAACCCAGGAAATGCAAGTTGCAATGAACTGAGATCATGCCACTGCACTCCAGCCTGGGTGACAGAGTGAGACCCTGTCAAAAAAAAAAAAAAAAAAAACCCAGAAAAAAAAAGGAAAAAGAAAAAAAGACCCAGCTTCTTTGCTTCCCAGGTAATGCAACTCAGGTGTGTTCCATGCAGCCTCCCGGGCTCCCCAGCAGGATAAAATACCAGTTTCCCACAATGGCAACCTGCTCATGAATGCACGTTTCGATTTCCCTCCCTTCCTCATCTCGCTTCCTCACTCCCCTCCTGGCGCTTCCTGGGATCACCTCCTAATTGAGTACTCGTGCTCAAATTCCTGTCTCAGGGTCTACTGCTGGAATCCAATCCAAGAGAGCTTATAAAGTGCCCGACAGAAAGAGGGCACTTGATACTGCTAGCCCGCTCGCTAGTGTGAAAGCGTCACGAAGGCAGAAGACATTCATTTGAATATGACTGTCTCCCCAGGTCCAGGTTCTGGCACAGAGAGGGCACCTAACACATATGCGTGGAGGAAATCGACGGACATGCTCCTCCCGCCACCCTGTCCTTCCCAGCCCTCCCTTTCCCTAGTCGCACTCGCCTTTCTCCCAGTCCCACATGTTCTCTCCTTCTGCTCTTTCTGCCCTTTCCTGGAGGAAGGATGCTCTGGGCCCAAATATCCCTCTGCTGTCCCTAAAGTTCCACGCTGGAAAGGAGCCCTCCTGCAGAATTGTGACATCACTGTGCACTAGCCAATGGCTGTCTGCCTAAACTGGGTCCCTGGTCTCCTGGGACCTCTAGTCCTCTGTTGACAGAGAGAAGCCAATATCTCCGACAAGAACCCCTTAATCTTCAGGGCAGCTCCCAGAGCATGGACCCCTCCTGATTCCACGGTTAGCCTGATGTTCCTCACAGTCAAGCTGCTCCTGGGCCAGAGATGCAGTCTGAAGGTGTCCGGGCGAGAGAGTGTAGCCACGCTGAAGAAACTGGTGTCCAAGCGGCTGCAGGTGCCTGAGGAGCAGCAGCACCTGCTTTTCCACGGCCAGCTCCTGGAGGATGACAAGCGCCTCTCGGACTACCGCATCGGGCCCAATGCCTCTATCAATGTCATCATGAGGCCCCTGGAGAAGATGGCGTTAAAGGAGGCCCACCAGCCCCAGGCCCAGTCCCTGTGGCACCGGCTGGGACTGGTCCTAGCTAAACACTTTGAACCACAGGATGCCAATGCCGTGCTGCAGTTGCTGAGGCAGGAGCACGAGGACCGCCTGCAGAAGATAAGCCTGGAGGACCTGGAACAGCTGGCCCAGTACCTCCTGGCAGAGGAGCAGCACGTGGAGCCAGCTGGAGAGAGGGAGCTCGAGGCCCAGGGACAGCCTCAGAGCTCCTGCAACGTGGAAGAGGAGGAGGAGGAGGAGGAGGAAGAGGAGGAGGAGGAGGAGGAGGAGGAGGAGGAGGAGGAGGAGGAGGCGGCGGCAGCAGCGGCTGATCAGTAAACGGGCAGTCCTACCCATTTGCATGCTAAAATTCTCCCAGCCTCATCCTTGTGTGTTCCCTGGTGACTTTTCTTACTAATTCCTGCTGATGTGGATGCATCCACACCCCTGTTCGAAACTTTGAAGCAGCTGGAGGGTTTTTGGATTCCTGTCCCCTCTTAGGCCTGGGGTCCTCCCTCTGAAATGCAGAGTGGCCCAACCCTCTTCACCATCCTTCCCCTAGAAGCGTTCCGATAACCGGAGGGCAGCCCCAAAGGCTGCAGTCCCCTGCTGTGCTGGCAACTTTGCCCATGCACACCCAGCAGCTCCCCAGGCTGCCAGCGGCCCTGGCCCGGGGTCGCCATGGCTCTAGGCAGACTCTCTTTCTCCCTTGGAACAGAAAGACAGTGTGAGTTCACTTTCCTCCATCCTCAGACCGTGATGCCCTGAGGCTCCCCAACAGCCAAGAGGAGAGGGATTTCAGGGAGCTGCCCCTTGCTTTCCGGGTGAGGCTGTCCCTGCTGTTTGCCTGCTTGTGCTTCCAGTTTACAGGATGGGCCCAGCAGAGGTGGGAGGGAAAGGAAAGCATCTACCAGGTGCCAGGCCTGGGGCCCTCGGGAAGACAGATACAGACTAGGAATAGCAGTAAACTGAGCCTCAGGCAGAAAAAGAGTTCAGCAAAGTCACACAATCCCTGTGGCCAGTGTGAACAGAGCCATGCTCCACCCTCCCAGACTGATGAGTCAGTAGGTATCACAGCTCCCATTACCTGCCCAGCACTGCCCAAGGCTCCCTGGAAGGAAAAATGGTCTCTGTCAGTCAGGATTCTTGCCCTCACAGATCACACAGCCTAGACTCAGAGAACCAGTATACATGTGAAGAGTAGGGCGGCGACATGAAACTAGAGTCCAGTCTGTGTGAATGAATGCCCGGGGGCTTCACAGCGTCCTGGGTTCAGCACAGAAGGGCCAGCCCCTTGCAGACTAGGAGAAAAACCAGGCCCTTTACTCTGCCCCTGGAGCGAGAGAGTAGCCTTCCCCGAGGCTGCGGAGTCCTCACACTCCGTGTGTGGGTGGGAGGGAGCGGGGAGCTGGCTGGGAGCTGTGGTCCTCCCTTCAATGCTGAAGCCCCTAAAATGCTGTTATTGTAGAAGTTTGAGTCCTGAGTAATGGGGATGGAGGGAGGGGGTGAAGGAGAATGTCTTGAACGGAACAAGCAGTGCCTGCTTCCCTAGAAAGCATCCCGTCCTTGGCCTGCAGGCCTCCCTGTCCCCGCTTCCAGTCCAAGTCCAGCTGTGTGGGTAACAGGCCTTTCCTGTCTGCGGCTCAGGTCTCCCACCTATTACATGGGCATCCTTACAATAGCATCTACTTACCCCAGGGGTGTTTGTGAGGGTTAGAGGCAAAGACTGTCCAACTGGGAGGGACGTCTTCTAGCGGTGGGCTAGGCAGCAGTGGAAAGCATTCCGTCTGTGGGAGCCAGCTTGGGAGCGTGCATTCCCTCACCTCCCAGAATAGGACAATCTCGTTCAGCTTATGATCCAGCTCCTTGCCCGATGTCCCACCCTTGCCCCAGCCACGAGAGGAAACCAGGGGCTCTGAGGAGACGAATGACCTCTTTCTGGGGCACCAAGGACCCAGCACGCACTGGCTGCAGCCAGCACTCCCAGGCTGGGGTTTAGGGGCCCAAGCCTGCTCCCTGGTTCCTGTCCTGGTCCTCCTCTTGGGTCCTGCACATCCTTAGTGGGGGAGCCCTCATGGCAGTTCTGTGAGTGTTTTTGTGCTGGGGCTGTGCCATTTACCAAGGGAGATGAGCCTATTATCTTTACATTACCGGAACTAATAGCCCATTTCCCAGGAAATCCGTGAGCGATAAAAATAAGTGGGCTGTTTTTATTCCTTTTGCTGAGAGAAGCTGGCATGAAGGACAGGGGAAGCCTTTGCTTTCTCTCTAGTTAGTGGGAGTGTCAGGGCTGGCTGAGAGCAGGCCAAGGGAGGCAGCCACCTCCACTGTCTGTCCTCAGCGCTGCAGGGGAGATGCCTCCAACCCCAAACTGGGAAGAAGGAAAGTTGGTCTGCTCTTCCCTGTGCCCCCCGCCCCCACTACCGACCTCCCCCTTCCCAAGGGCTCTCCTGCCTGTGTCCCTCTCCTCAGAGGCTGAGCACAGGAGAGGATGCATTGTCACTGGGAACTTAGCAGGAACTTGCATCTGGTTGTCACCACTCCCAGGAATAGTCTTACTCAGTGCTGTTTCTCACTGTGGGGTGACAGGCATTGTCCCCTAAAGGAAGTTGTAGTTATCAGAGAAGGTGTATCGAGAGGCTAGGGGTAGGATCAACCCCTAATACTGCATCGATGGGTTTGGGTCTCATCTGTGTTGAGAACCCGAGCTCTAGGGCTGCCTGCAAGGGGACCCCTCACTGCACCGAGTTTTGCCCTATGTCGAACTGAAGCCTGTACCAGTGCCCCTATTGAAGGCTCCCTATTTATTCTCTGCTTTACTCACTGGGGGAAGGCACTCTTTCCAAACTTCAGCCTTGGGCAGATAAATCTTTCTCTTAACTCCCCACACCACCTTCCCCTACCACAAAAGGACATATGTGTCCCTACAGGTAACAACTTTGCTCATGTTGGGAGCATTCAGGACAGCCACTACAGCCAGTAGTCAGCTTTGTGTTTCTATCCACAGAGAAATCTGTCTCCTCATCTCAGCTCCTTCCTGGGTCACCTGCAAGCCAGCATCCTTCAGTCCACCCGCCCAATGCAAAACAGTCTTTCTGATGGAAATAGGCAGAGCGTCCTGGTCCATGTGCTGTTTAGTCAGTCCTTTGCTCTTCAATCAGTAAACATATATGGGTCTCTGTCTCAGTCTGTTTGTGTTGCTATAACAAAATACCTTAGACTGGGTAATTTACAAACAGAAATTTATTGTTCACACCTCTGAAGGCTGGGGTTTCCAACAGGAGGGTGCCAGCAGATGTGGTGTCTGGTGAGGACCTGTTCCTTGTTGACAGTGCCTGCTGTGTGTCCTCACGTTGCAGAAGGACAAACACGCTCCTTTTAATCTTTTTTTTTTTTTTTTTTGACAGGGTCTTGCTCTGTCTCCCAGGCTGGAGTGCAGTGGCAGGATCTCAGCTCACTGCAGCCTTAACTTCCCAGGCTCCCACCTCAGCCTCCTGAGTCGCTGGGACTACAGGTGCACATCACCACACCCAGCTAATTTTCGTATTTTTTGTATAGATGGGGTTTCACCATGTTGCCCAGGCTGGTCTCGAACTCCTGGCTTCAAGTGATCCACTCACTTTGGCCTCCCAAAGTGCTGGGATTACAGGTACCAGCCACCACACCTGGCCTCAATCTCCTTTACAAAGGCGCTAATCCCATTCACGAGGATGAGCCCTTGTGATTTAATCACTTCCCCAAAGTTCCTACCTCTTAATACTGTGACACTGGTGATTACGTTTCAACATGTGAATTTTGGGAGACACCAACATTCAGACCACAGCATCCTACCATGTGTCAGGCTTTGTGCTGAGATTTAGGCCGGTAGACAAGGAGTCCTGTCTCCAGGACAGAGAGTAGTGCGCCCCCTGCTGTCTCTTGCAGCATGGTGCAGCAGAGAGGCTTGGGAAACTCCTGACATCCTGCCTTGGCCTATGATGAGGATGCGGTGATGTGTTTGGAGGTAGCTATGGTGCTTTTTATCACCAGTCTTGAAAGATAGGGCAGGCAGTGATGTGTCAGGATGAAGTCTTGCAGATGTGGAAGAAACTTACAATGTTCCAGGGCTCCAGAAACCCCAGATGCCTGATTTTAGAAGCAAATCCAGTCCTCTCCTCTCCTTCCACTCTGACTTGCTCCTCTCCATCAGCCTTTGTTCAGGATTAAGTGAGATGTTAGTTACATATAAAGCTTCCAACCGTTTTAAACTGGGGAAGAGAGGCATGGGTAGAAGGAAGTGGAGGGTAAGGCTGCGCCTTCCCAGGAAAACAGCAGACTGCAGTTGAGGTGCCTGAGGGAAGACGTGGCAACATTGTGCTGAGATGTGCACAGGCAGGATGGGCGGGCTCTGGGCATCTCCCTTTTGTGCTGGGAGAAGTGCTGCTATAATGGGTAAGGACCAGGGGCAGAATATCAGCTTCTAGTTTTTTTCTTTCTTTCTTTTTTTTTTTTTTTTTTTTTTTTTTTTGAGGTAAGGTCTTGCTCTGTTGCCCAGGCTGGAGTGCAGTGGTGCAATCATGGCTCACTGCAGCAGGCTTGAACTCTCAGGCTCAAGCAATTCTCCCACCTCTGTGGGAAACATTCCTGTGTGAGACCCCCAAAAGGCGTGGGTCTCACTATACTGTGAGTTTGATCCCAAACACAGTTTCCTTCTGGAGGCAGTCGAGCTATCAGAAAGAAGGAACTGAAAGATGACTGATCAGTTTCTAGTATTAACCACCATATCGTTTGGGCCTAAACTATGCGGCGCTGCTAGACCGAGTGACTCCCTACCAGCAAGCAGTTTCTGCTTTTAACTTTTATAACTCTTTCTTTAAGAATAGCTTTAACCTTTTCTTTACTTGTATGACTGCCTTGTACCCTAGATAGTGGTTTAACTGTGGGGATATTTGCAAAGCAAATGCCACTATATGGATGGCTTTGATCCCAGACTCAGAGACTCCTGAATAGGGGGAGTTGAGATAAGTTGAGTCAGGAGCAGACAAAGGAGAATCTGGTTAAAAGATATTCTGATGAGCAAAACCAGAAAACCTTTTCACATTTGAGTCCTAAAACAGGATCAAACCAAAAATACCTGCAGCCATGAGGAATAATGTCTGGATGTAAATAAGCTTTGTGATCACAGGAAATTCTATTACTTTTTACAACCACTGATTGTGTATCTGACTTCTCTATTGTATAGGCCATGTAAGGTACAGATTTGCATTTCCTCTTGCAATGACGTAAACCAGAGCAAAGAAACTGTATTTATTCCTGGCCTTTTGAAAAATAAATTTGCTGTTTTAGGCACGGCCTATACAGCCCTCCAGACCCCCGCTTTCTGTCTTTCTTTATTTCTTTAAGCGCACGCTCTCTTCCAGGTTTCAGGACCCTCTTGCAGGTCGAGAGATCCCCGGCAGACGTACCGTCCCGACTGTCCCCAACACACCTCAGCATCCTGAGTAGCTGGGATTACCGGTGTGCACTACCATGCCCGGATAATTTGTTTATTTTTCTTTTGTAGAGATGGTCTTGCTATGCTGACCAGGCCGATTTCAAACCCCTGGCCTCAAGCAATCCTCCTGTCTTGGCCTTCCAAAGTGTATCTCACAACCCAAAGTTGCAAGATACAGGTGTGAGCCACTGCACCCAGTTCAGTTTCTATTTCTATATCTGGGGCTTAGCTTGACCCCAACTTTGCTTTTGCTAAATGAAAAATATTGGCACCATACTAAATAATAAATGCAATAAGCTCTCTTGGATGCAGTTCTAAAACTGTTGAATTCTTCATACTTTGAGCTGGCCCTGTTGGTGAGAGAATCACTGCAAATGGAAGTCCAGAGGTACTGAGTCTAGGTCTTCACACCAGGACTAATTTGACAAAAGCACTGGCCGTGGAATGGAATGATCAGGCGGTCCCCTGAACAGGTACACTCTGTCGACCAGAGAGCCCAGTGTGGGAAGCCCTGCACTGGACACCACCACCAGTCTCGGCTCTACCATTTGCCTTGAGCCTTGGACAAGTCACTTCATATCTCTGGACCAGAGACTTCCTCATTTGCAAAATGGAAGAAGGGACTGGACTTGACCTCTAAAGTGCCTTCCGACGCTAAGGTTCTGTAAGTCATGAACATGAGCTGCTGATGCCCCAGGCTGGGGTAAAGCAACAGGAGCTGGCCTTCACAGGGGCAGCGTGTATTTATTTTTGTACAAAAAGAATTACATTTTTATACAAAAATAAAGACATTTTTGTAATCAAATATGAAGCTCAAAATCCCACAAAACATTATAGATATTATTTAGGGACACATGCCTCAGAAAATATTAATAAATGTTTGGTAGGAAGGAAAATCCAATCAAGGAAAGTTTCCCGAGGGCTTCAGTTGTAAAGTTTATTGTGTCAGGTGGTGGGGACATGGGTATTAGTTTTCAATTACTGTACAACAAACTACAGTCAGCCCTTAGTATACACAGGGGATTGGTTCCAGAGCCACCCCCCGACCACATTATACCAAAATCTACACATATTCAGTGGGCCCTGAGGAACTCGGGTGTACGTAAAGTCAGCCCTCTGTATACATGGGTTTTGCATTTTGTGAATCTTGTATCCTTAATTTGCACTTGGTTGAAAACAATCTGTCTAAGTAGATCTACTCAGTTCAAACCCATGTTGTTCAAGGGTCAACTACTGCAAATTTAGCAGTTTCAAACCACATGCATTATCGCACAGTTCAGTGCCATGTCTTACCTGAGTCCTTTACTTAGGATCTTAGGCTGCTGCCGTGAAGATATCGACTGGGCTGTGTTCTCCTCTGGAGGCTTGGCAGGGGAGAAATTGGCTTCCAAATTCCTGTGGTTGGCAGAATTGATTTTCTTCCAGTTGTGGGACCGAGGGCCTGGACTACTTGCTGGATGTTGGTGGGAGGCACCCACAGTTCCTCGAGGCTGCCTTCAGTTCTTTGCCACGTGAGCTTTTCTAGCATGACTGATTGCCTTAGCAAGCCTGCAAGGAGAATCTCTAGAGTTAGCTGGTAAGGCCAAGTCACCTACAACGTAATGTAATCATGGGAGTGACACCTCATTATGTTTGTCAGTTCTGCTAGTTAGAAGTGAGTCACAGGCCCTGCCCACATTCAGAGGGAGGGGATTATACAAAGGCTTGGACGCCAGGAAGTGGAGATCATGGGACCCTCCTTGAATTCTGTCCACTGCAGTAGCTGTTGATTATGTCATTATGTAATTGTATATGGACAAAACCATGAATCATAAACCAATTAAAGTGGTCTGTGGCCTAGGAGTTGTGGGAGGATAGCATAGATGAGGAGGGACTGCTCTCAGATGTGGCTCAGGTAGACTTCAAGGTAGCATCTGAGCTGGTGACAACCAAGTGACTTTTCCTGACACCCAGGGGCCCACATTTACACCTGGGCTCAGCACGCCCACCATATGACCTTGCTGGATGCCTCATGACACCCAGAGGCATATGGACACACCCAAGGCACATATCCACAAACACACAGACAACCCCTCCCAACAGCTCAGACCCGAAGTGTGGGGTCTACCGTGGCAGAGCGGGGTTTGCCGCGGTAAACTGTAGGCTCGGCAGCACTTATGGTGTCAGTGGTCCAGACACTGCCTTTTGGGTTTTAGGATGTTAGAGCCCCACTGACCCAGCTTAGCCCAGGCAGCCCAGCCAGAAGATCTCACAGCGCAAATTCAAGAACAGAAAAGGATGACTTTACAGAGCCAAGTTCAGGAACTGCTAGGGCTGCAGGAAGAGGTCGCCTAGACCGCCTTTGCCATCTTCAAGTGATGCATCATGTATTCAGGACAGCAGTGTTCATAAGAGTCTGCAGAGGGTCCCCAAGCATATGGATACTTGTGTGCACACCTTCGTGCAATGGATGCCAGTGAGCTCTCAAGGGCAGCTGCACATGCACATTGGCCCAGGTATGTCTGAGGGCAGAGACCCTCTTTTCTGTGTGAACTCTCCAAGGTGGCATGTTTGCCTTCCTGATCCCTGCCCCAGTCTGGCTCACTCTCCCTGTGCTCTGGGCTGGATTTGGGTGCTGCCAGCCTGTGGCAGGGGAGTGGCCAGAGGACAGTCTGCCTTGGCTCCTGCTGCTGAGCCGGCTGTCACTCACGGAGGCGGCTGAGGTATGAACAGCTGCAAAGCCCAGTTCCTGGTGCCCTCCTGAGCGGATGGTGCTCCCTGCCGGCTGCCTCACCCTACTGCCCGCTTGGGTCACCGTTCTCTTTTCTCTGTCTTTTTTGCTTTTCTTCTTGTACCTCTTCACTACCTTTTCTCTCCTATCCTCTCTAGCCACATTTGGGGCTAATTTGGCCTCACTGTATAGCTATCTGGGTGCTTCATTTCAGCTCTTTCTCTCTGCTCTTTATACATCACTTTCTACCCACCCCCTGTCCACCTTTCTTTCTCCCATTTCTTTCATCTGTCAGTAGCTTCCCTCCTGTTAAACACCATCACTACCACCACCATCATCACCATCACCACCACCACCATCATTACCATGACCACCACCACCATCATCACCACAACCATCACCATCACCACCATCACCACCACCATCACCATCACCACTATCGTCACGATCACCACCATCACCACCACCACCATCACCATCATCACCACCACAACCATCACCACCACCATCACCATCATCACCACCACAACCATCACCACCACCATCACCATCATCACCACCACAACCATCACCACCACCATCACCATCACCACCACAACCATCACCACCACCATCACCATCACCACCACAACCATCACCACCACCACTATCACCATGACCATCACCACCACCACCACCACAATCACCACCATCATCACCACCACCACCATAACCACACTATCGTCATCACCACCACCACCATCATCACCATCACCATCACCACCACCATCACCACCACCAGCATCACCATCACCACAACCATCACCACCACCACCATCACCATCCCATCACCATCACCAGCGTCACCATACCACCACCACCACCACCATCACCATCACCACCACTGTCACCACCATCACCATCACCACCATCACGATCACCACCATCACCATTACCATCACCACTACCACCACCACCATCACCATCACCACCATCACATCACCACCATCATCACCATCACCACCACCACCATCACCATCACCACCATCACCATCACCACCACCACCATCACCACCACCATCACCATCACCACCATCACTACCACCAACACGACCACCATCACTACCATTAGCACCAGCACCAGCACCACCAACACCAACACCATCACCACCATCATCATCACCATCACCACCACCACCACCATCACCATCACCAGCAGCATCAGCTCTTGTCCTTGTCCTCCTGTGTGTCCTCTTTCATTTTCCCAGACTCACCTAGTGAGTAGGCATGTGCAGGGACTCAGAACCCGCTACCTTTGAGTACGTGTCTGACCCCCCAACCCCTGCTCATGTTCAGTACTAGTCCATAAGTACCCATAGTCAGCCCAGTGCTCCAGTACAATAAGAAATGGTCTTATTGCACCTATTTGCTGATCTATACCCCTGAACAGACATGACACATGCCCAGAGAAGGGTCACAGACACCTGCACACTCAGGGCTGCACCTGCGCTGGGGCGACTGACCAGGCCACCTCTCACAACCACAGCAGCCAGCAGGGTGGGTGCTGGCTTCCTCAACTTCCTTCCATGGCTCTGCCCCTGCCCGCCCAGCCCTCACTCTCTTGGCTCAGCTCCTGCAGTTCCTTCTGGCTCCTTCCTGGGGGTGCTGTGTGCTGTGTGGCTCTGCTGGGCTCCAGGGCTATAAATCCCCTTTGAAAGGGATTGTAATGTGAGGAGCCAGCAGGAAGCCTGAGCCCCCTGATGGCTCCTACCTGCCCCTCTGCTCCCTCCGACAGCATTTCCCATCACTGTGATTTAAGGGCTCCCTGGCAGCCTTTAGCAGTTCCCACTGCCCTTGCAGAAGGGTGATAAATCTGAGGTAACTACTGTCAGCGCTGGTCATAAACCCATCATGGCTTGCTGCAGAGGGGCTAGGCCGGCCTGCCGCGGCCCAGCAGAGTCTGCCTTGTCAGCCAGCCGCCCTTGGATGAGTCCCAGGGCACCCGAGCCTGGGACATTATTTATGAGCCTCAGGCCCCAGGATCAAAGTCGCTGTCCATCAGAGAGGGCAGGGCGGAGGCCCTTGGAGCCACCCTGCTGGTTCCTCCTCTCATCCAGACAACCTCAGGCTGCTGCTGCTACTTAACCTTGAATAGTAACACGTTAGACAAAGCCTCAGTACTCTTGGCTTCCCCTGAGCCCCCTTCCCTACCATCTCCAAGTGCACCCCCTCTTCTGTACCCATCAGGACAGGGAGTCTGGAGGAGCTTTGGTGACAGAGTTGGGGCCGGGGTTTCGGCTGGAGAGGGGCCTTTCCTGACCCACAGCTGCCCATGCCCCCTGCAGCCCAGCCTGGCTGGAAGGAGAGAAGCACTGGGCCCCCATTCCCCAGGATTTTGTCTAAGCAGCCTGTGGCTGATCTCACTGGGCAGGGAAGTTTGAGAAGACGCTCATCCTAAACAAAGAGAGGAGTGTTTCTCCAGACGCTCACTCTCCAGGCGGCCTGGTTTCCTGGGGTCGTTTTAGCTCCCAGACCCCCCCCTCATTTGTCTGGGAAGATGAAGCCCAGGAGGAGAGGGGGGCAAGGCAGTGGCAGAGAACATGGTTAGACCTGGAATCTGAAGATTTGGCAGGCAGTCTTAAGATACACTTTCAATCTGTGGGACTTTGGGTGGGCCACTTGTCTCTGACCCTCAGGGGCCTCATCAGTACAGTGGGGATAATGCGACCCTCTGAGTTGCGGGGTACTTAGGAGCACCCAGTGATGAGGTATGGGAAAGTGTTTTGTGAACCCTACAGACCTATGCAGAATTCAGCCTTATTTGTATCCCCCTCTTTCTCTACAAAGGTCTCTATTGCAATCAACAGAATATACTTGCCAGTTTATACAAAGAAAAATTTATTGCAGAGGTGGTTGGCTTACTGGGAGGGCCAAAGAACCAGGCTTGGACACTTAGCCACAGCACTGCAACCAAGAGCAATGCTGGACACATGATGACCACCTTGCCGGAGGCCCGGCCCTGCAGTTCCAGGGGTGAGAGCCCAAACCCCCAGCATGGGTTCTTAGGGGACTCCGGTGCCCCCAGCAGCACCCGGAAGAACAGTCTCTCACCTGACTTTCTTCCACCCAGAGGTCACATGCAGGAGTGTCTGACTGGGAGCAGCCAGATTACAATGAAGCTAGCTGAAAGGGAGTCCTGGAAATGTAACTGCTAACTCTCCAACAAGCTGGAAAGGGGGTTGGGCTGTGGCAGTCTGTGGAACAAACGACCCAGTTTCTTTATCCAATCAATTGCTATAGAAAGAAAAAAAAGAAAGACAGAAAGACAGAAAGAGAGAGAGAGAGAAGAGAGAGAGGGAGAATCTGTAGATTAAAAGAAACTGAACAGACATATCAACTATTTGCAGTGTGTGGAGTTATTTCCATTCTGATTTGAACAAACTGTTTAAAAAAAAGCAAGACAAGCCGGGCGCGGTGGCTCAAGCCTGTAATCCCAGCACTTTGGGAGGCTGAGGCGGGTGGATCACGAGGTCAGGAGATCGAGACCATCCTGGTCAACACGGTGAAACCCCGTCTCTACTAAAAATACAAAAAAGTAGCTGGGCATGGTGGTGCGTGTGCCTGTAATCCCAGCTACTCAGGAGGCTGAGGCAGGAGAATTGCCTGAACCCAGGAGGCGGAGGTTGCGGTGAGCTGAGATCGTGCCATTGCACTCCAGCCTGGGTAGCAAGAGCGAAACTCTGCCTCAAAAAAAAAAAAAAAAAAAAAAAAAAAAAGCAAGACAATCAGGGAAATCTGAACATTGATTCAATGTTTATCAAATATTTGATGCTAGTAAATATTAGTATGCATTTTGAGGTGTGTAATGATAGTATTGTGGTTATGCTTTTAAAAAGTCATCTTTTAGAAATACATTGTGAAATATTTCTGGATGAAATGATACATAGAATTTGCTTCAGAATAATCCGGTGAAGTGGGACAGAGGCCATTTCTGGAGCCATGGAGTGAGGGCATGATCACGGAGAAGCTGGGTACAAGGAGCACGGGGTTGTTCCTGCTACTCTCCTTTTGCGTGTGTTTCAAATGTTTGATAACACAAGATTTTGACAAGGTTTACCTGGGCACTGCTCAGTCCGCTGAAGCCTTACCTCTGACAGGTGCCATGCTGCACAGCCTCAGGCTCATCAATAACTGTTTCATCACAGCAAGCCACCCACCACCAGCAGCCTGTCCTCTGACACTGACCAGCTCCCTGGTGTCTCAAAACGCAATGTGTTGGGAAAACCAGTCCCAGATTCTCATTTCCTTGAGGGGTTCTTGCTTGGAATCCCTTCTGGTATGAGTTACTGTTCCAAATTGGGGAAAACAGATTTCACTCTGGCTGATTTAAGCAGAAAGGAATTTATTAAAGGATATTACATAGAATCTTGGAGAGGGCCAAGATGCTACATGGCCCGGAAGAGCACAGTGAGGAGAAATATCTGAGCATCTGCAGGATGGATCCGGTGGAAATACTGCTCTGCTGCCCACTCTTCAGGGGTGACACTCTAGAAACCCCCACAGCTGGCTGAGGGGACTTACTCCCTTGGCCTGCCACTGCCTCCAGTTTTTATTTTACTTTATAGCTCCTCTTCCATCCCCTCCCCAGGCTCATGTGGAAATTATCTTGGTGAAACTGGGTCTCGCATGGACCCTAGCTGCAAAGGAGTCTGGCAAATGTGGTTCCACGCTTTCCAGACTCTTTAGTGCGGGAAAACAAACTCTTTGTCTCTAAGATAGCTTTTTTCTTGGGTTTCCAGCTCCCACCAGAGGGGCCCACCCTCACCACTGGGCATTCTTTTGTTTTTGCCTGCCAAGGCTGAGGTCATTAAACTTAGTCATTGTTCTGCCCCAGGTCCTTAGCATGTAACATCTTCACAGGCGTAGTGCGTATGAAGAGATCTCAAAACCTTTTTCTCTTTTAGTCCTCTTGGTAAGCTTGAACAGTTGTCATTACCATCCCCATTTTATATTTGAGGCGATTGAAACTCAGAGAGGTTAAGTGAGTTCCCAAGGTCATAGAGCTGGCGCATAGCAGATCCAGCATTCAAATCCTTTACTTCCATTCCCTACTCCGCACCCACGAAGCAGGAACAACTAATTGCAATTTTAGTTTGCGGCTTGATCTTGCCCTTATAACTAATCATCCTTCCCCCATCTCAAGGCTGCAGCCAGTCATTTGTGAAGCCTTGCCATATACCAGATTTTGGTGAGAGATGGCATAGAGCAGTTAGGGCATAGGTCCTTGAGTCAGAATGCTGGGAGCCACTTGTGAGCTGGGCTGACCTTGGGCATGTTACCTTAACCAAAGCAGCTAATAATAGTGGTGGTATGGTCTGTATATTTGACCTCAGCAAACCTCATGGTGAAATTTGATTGGCAGTGTTGGAGGTGGGGCCTAATGGGAGGTGTTTGGGTCATTGGGATGGATCCTTCATTAATGGCCTGATGCCATCCCCATGAAAATGAATGAGTTCTCGCTCTATTAGTTCTATGAGAACTGGTTGTTAAAAAGAGGCTGGCACCTTCCTTATCTCTTTGGTGATTTTGCTCTCTTGCTGTGTGATCTCTGCATATACCAGGCAGGGATCCCACCGTGGCCATGAGTGGAAGTAGATTGAGGCCCACACAGAAGTAAATGCCAGCAGCATACATGTTTCTTGTACAGCCTGCAGAATCATGAGCCATATAAACCCAATTTTCTTTATAAACTCCCCAGCCTCAGGCATTCCCTGTACAGCAGCACAGACTGAGACAAGTAGCATCTATTATTATCTTAGTGATTTATAGACAGGATTAAATGAATTCTCACAAATGAAGAGCTTAGAACATAGTAAATGTACAGTAAATTCTACTGTTGCTACTGTTTGGGGTGGTAGGGCCCAAAGCAGTAATTGTTAATCACTCAGAAGACTATTCTCACATGTCCCTGGCTTTTGTTTTGCCAAATTCCAGGCTCACTGATGAGATTGTGCTGGATTATCTTGGACAAGGAGGCAGTGGGAGGAAAGTTTGGAGGAAAGCAGACTAAAGGGGATGCGTTGGAAGGGGTCCATGCTAGCTGGGACTGGGGCCATCCTTCCCTATGGGACCCAAGGGAGGTGACAGGGCCTTAGGAAAATGGCCGCAGGGTACCCTGAGAAGGCTGACTCTCAGCAGAGACCCTTCCCCAAATTGGCCCAGAAACAGGGATTCCTCACCCTTCATGAACCATGAGGATTGGTCAATGATCATATCTGTGTAGACAGAATGTGCAGAGACCATCAGACTCTCCTCTAAATGTTCTGCAGTGTGGGAGACCCCAGAGTCTTTGCTTGTCTCTGACGGTGTGTGGGCAAGGAAGTTCTAACATGGGAACTTGAATTTCCCTCTGGACTGGTAGGATGCAGGCTTGGAGCAGATTACACTTAATCTAGAGAAAGAAAGGAGACCTTTTAAACACCATACGTTGGAGAGCAAAATCTCTTACTCATGACACCCTATCTTGTTATCCAGAATGAAGTCCTAGCAAAAACAAAATTTAGGCAAAGATTGCCTTGGAAAGCTAGGTGTCTGTTCTTCTGGACTTTTCTGGAGTACAGCCAGAAAGCAAAGCTCTTTTCTCTTCCCTCCCACTATCAGACCCACTCCCCATTGAGGACCTGAACGAGTCAGGTAAACCCAGATTCAGATCCCAGCTCTGCCACCGACCAGCTGTGTGTGAGGTTAAGTCACCAGTAAAATGAAATGATTAAATTCCCTTCAAAGAGCTGTCATGAGGATGGTGCAAGACAACGGAACTCAAATGCTCCCTGTAAGCTATGCCTGCAGGTCGATGTGCAGTGTGGTCTGGGTGCTTTTGTGCAGATTTAAGCCAGTGAGGTGTGTGAGGCCTTCGCAGCGTGTTAGCTTGGCTGGGCAAAATTGCATTCCCCAGAATGCATTCTCTAGTGTGCTTCCAGATAGGGCGGGCCACAGGTGATAGTCTCTCATGAAAGTTGGAGGACAGAAGGAGGCAGGGCCATTTTGTCACATATACCCTTCTTTCTGTTATTCAGTCAAAGCTAATCCAGGTGCTGTCGTAAAGGGATTTTGCACATGTAACCACAGTCCCTAATCAGCTCACTTTAAATTAGGGAGATTATCCTGGGTGGACCTGACTCAATCAGTTGGAAGCCCTTTAAGAGAAGGCTTAGCCCTTCCCTGAGAGGGACTCATGCCTATGGGATTCAGACTGCCACGACTTTCCCTTCCTCACCACCTGTGTAGCCAGCTCCACACTTGCATAAGTCAATTTCCTACAACAAATCCATATACATCTACTGGCTCTGCTTCTCTGTGGACCTTGGAGGGCTGCAGGGTGCCTCTCCTGGGACACAGAGTGGTAAGAGGCATTGCAGAACAGGGAATCAGGTGTGCCTGGTGGAAGAAGCCCTGTGGAAGCCCCTGCAGTGGTGCCAGAGGGGTGCGCAGGCTGTGGTAGGGCAAGCCCTGCCTCTGCCTACATGTCTACAGTGTTTGTGGGGTTCTTGCTGTCTGTCTGCTGGCTTGGCACAAACACAGGGCCACATATGGCATTTAAACAGTGGGTGAGACAGGCATCATTATCTCTGCTTTTCAGATAAAGAATCAGAGACTCAGAACTGAGTGACTGGCCTGAAATCACTTGGCTAATAGGTGGTGGAAGCAAGTCCTGGCTTACCCAAGGGGCTCTCGCAGCTGCCCTGCAGCACTGCTCATCTTGTTAGCTGCTTTAAAACTGCTCTGCACCTGTCTGCCAAGTGTCTCTCATGGGCCAGGCCTGAGCTGGGGATGGAGCCCGAATAATGTCACCCAGATGCTTTCCCTGCCCTCCTGGGGCTTCTCGTCCAAGGATACCTCTCTGGGGGATGTATGGCTGTGTCAGGGCTAACACTGGACCTGCAGGAAGCTGCAGAGCTGGCTTTCCTAGCCGGTCCTTGTTGCCCTGAGCAGTACTCAGGCTCACAGCCTTCAGATGAAGCCTCTGCAGAGGTAGGTGCTTTGGGCCTTGCAGGAAGAATGGAGCCTCCTGGCGCCAGCAGGAACCAGGTGGCAGTTACCCAGGGTCCCCTGGGCCTTGTTAGAGGCACTGATGATGACTCCAGAAGGTGCTTTCACAAGGGAAGCCTTGAGGAAGAGGTGTGGAGGACCCGAGGGATTACCTTCCACCTTTCCCTGCACACTGCCTCCAGCTAGGCACAGATGTGGGGAAACTGAGGCAGCTGGATCTTCAGCATCAACCAGAATGATGTGTCTCAAAGCACATCACAGCAAAACTGACAAAAGAGTATTTCCTGATCTGGGTGGTAAATTGCTTAGTTTTAAAACCTTAAAAGTCAGTTTATCTATTCTGGCTATCTGCATAAATCAAAGACTAGCTCCTGGCTTCTCCCTGCTTACTATAGTATGTGTAGACCAGCTTCTTCCTCACCGATTCAGTAAATATTGTTTGAGGGTCCACCATGTGCATGCACCTCTGACCCAGGAAAGGCCCCATGACCAGCTGAGGTGCTAGCTGAGGGCAAAGGGAGCATGAACTGGCCAGTGGGAGAGATGGTCATAAGCCCCGAGGGCCACATGGCTGGTTGTAGAAACAAGGACTGTATTTCCAGTTTTTACATGTATTTCCAGTAAGCACTTTTGTTTCCTTTCCCTCTCTCATTTCCTACTATTTAACATAAGATGTCTTAAGAGTAGTAAACTTTTATCTCAGAAGTTAAGTTACAGGATATTTAAGTGGGGAGTGTGAAACAACCAGGAGAAGAAGGAGTGTGAAACAGTTAAAAAGTTCTTATTCTGATTCAGCTTACATTCTAGTCAGGGAGAGAAATAAAGAAACAAATAAAATATATAGGTATCAGTTAGTGATTGATGAAAAAAAAAAAGCAGGGAAGAGGGATGAGGCGCATGCATGCGCACGTGTGTATGGATGTGTGTGTGCATGTACGTGTGTGTGTGATTTCAAACAGGGTAGGTGGGCAGAGAAGACCTTTCTAGAGGTGACATTTGAGCAGTAGGAGAGAGCAGGCGCCAAGGTCCAGGAACTACCTGGACTTCCACCGCTGTGAGAAGGCAATGAATGCTAAAGGAGGTGATGTGTCTGTGTGCCAATGGTACCGGCGTGTATACAAGTCCCTCTGCCCCATAGCCTGGGTCACAGACTGGGATGAGCAGCGGGCTGATGGCACTTTTCCTGGGAAGATCTGAACTGGCTGCATCACCCTCTCCTGCATCCTCTGTCCTTCTCCCAGGGTGGTAAAGGGAGACCTAGTACCCAGTGATCCCCACCCCGGGATCCTAAATCATGACTTAACTGTTAATAAAAACTCGTTGGAAAAGTGAAAAAAAAAAAAAAAAAAAAAGGCCGGGTGCGGTGGCTCAAGCCTGTAATCCCAGCACTTTGGGAGGCCAAGGCGGGTGGATCACAGGGTCGAGAGATCGAGACCATCCTGGTCAACATGGTGAAACCCCGTCTCTACTAAAAATACAAAAAAAAAAAATTTTTTTTTTTCTAACACCACTGGGGGAGTGGTGTTAGAGGAGACCTGCTGTGGCTGGAACAGGAAGAAGGAATCAGAGCACAGCCTGACATCAGTTGAGGGGTCATGGGGGCTGGATCACACAGGCTCATGCTGAGGACTTTGGTTTTTACCCCAGGTGAGAAGAGGAGCAGGACAGGACCAGAACAGGACTTTGAGCTGAGGAGTGGCATGCTCTGACTTAGGTTTTCATTCTAACATCTTAGCTGCCCTGAATCCTGATCTGCATATGGCCATCTAGATAAGGAGGATGTCCCCCTGGACACTCACATGGTACTGGCTGCCTCCTGCTTCCCACCCAAACCTATTGTAGGAGTGTCAGAGGCCTGAGGTCTATGGCTTTGGGGATGAGTGGCCAAAGAAGGGGAGTGTGGTGGTGCCTGCCTCTGCCTCCTAGCCCAGGGCTCCAGCCCTTTGCTGGCTTCGTAAGGTTTTTGAAACGCTGATGTGCACATGAACCTTGTTTGATTGATTCCATGAACATGAGCCAGGCCCTTCTTCTGGGCAGGGCTGAGCTGAACCCTGAGGTTGCAGAGATGACCAAGATGCCTCTCTACAAATAGGAGCCTTGTAGAAGAAGGCAGACCTGTCTGTGACACACTCACATGCAGTGTGAAGGGGCCCCTCTCATCAGAGGAGGGAGCAGCCATGGTGCTGGGGGTGGGGAGTGAGTGAGGGATTTCAACAGTGGACAACACTGGAGCTGGAGTGTTACAAAGGCTAGAAGGGCTGACCAGAAGGAGGGACACCACGAACAACACCCAGACATGAACATGTGTGGAAGATAAGAGTCTCAACCTCAAATAGATGGGAAGTCAATCAAATGTTCTTTATTTTCTAAAACAGCTTAAATTTTCTCTCTCTCTCTCTCCGTTCTCTCTCTCTCTCTTTCTCTCTCTCTCTCCCTCTCTCTCTCTCTCTCTCTCTCTCTTTTTTTCTTGAGACAGAGTCTCACTCTGTCGCCCAGGCTGTAGTGCAGTGGTACCATCTCAGCTCACTGCAACCTCCATCTCCCCTGTTCAAGTGATTCTCCTGCCTCGGCCTCTGGAGTTGCTGAGATTACAGGCATGTGCCACCACACCTGGCTAAATTTGTATTTTAGTAGAGACGGGGTTTCCATGTTGGCCAGGCTAGTCTCCAATTCCTGGTCTCAAGTGATCCACCCACCTCGGCCTCCCAAAGTGCTGGGATTACAGGTGTGAGCCACCGTGCCCAGCTTAAATTCTCTTTTGACTTTGTTGTGGCAGAGGAGTGAAAACTTAACCTTGGTAATTTGGGGTGGGGACATTTGCCTTTGCTATCGTCTGGTCCTGAAGGCCTATTCTGCTTGTCGGAAAGCCCCATTCCCTGACTGGCCCTGCAGCCTGTGGCTCCTCTGCTCCTCTGACCCCAGTCCGAGGGGGATGCTGGGGCCTCTGAGAGCGAGCTGGAGGGGTCTGGTCTCTGAAACCACATGCTGCAGGGGATTTGGCGGCCCTCCCTGACATCCACTGCTACGACTCTCTGGGCCTTTGGGGTATGGTTTGGGAAGTCCTGTCCCCAGCACACTGTGTCCTAGCCAGTTGCCCTGGGCAGGGGTGGGGGTGGGGAAGGGAGCATTGGACCAGCTGTAAGAAATTGCCCCTTGTCCCCTGGTGCCCCTTCCTTCTCTAGGCACTGGTCGCTCTTAGGAGTGTGTGTATGGTGGGAGCGGGGGAAGGGAGGGCGGTGTTTGCAGATGTTTTGGCCAAGGGAGCCTCCGAATGGGGCAGTGGGGACCCAGAGACCTCTCAGCAGGCATTCTAGAGGCTCCTCAGCTGCCCCTGCTGTTTGGAGACTCTAAAGAGCCGGGATTTATGTCCCGTCCCCGCTCCCACGCCTCTGGCTGGGGAGGGTGGCTCATTTTTCACGGGTGCCGCGTGACTTTCCAGACTGTATTTTCAGCCTCGGTTTGACGTCAGGCTCTCTCTCAGTCCCAAAGGATGGGCTTTGTACATTTCCAGGCCGCAGGCCGGAGCCTCCCACCCCTTTGGGCATCTTGGGCGGTCCCTACGGCCACTTCCCGAAGCTCCCTGGGGGCGGGGGCGGGGCTGGGGGGCCGCTGGGTGAGGGAGGAGGGGAGGTAACGGTGGGGGTGCCGGGCGATTGTCAGGAAGTCAGTCCAGCAGAGCCAGGCCCGCGTTGGGACGAGCGTGCGCCGTGTGCGGAGCCGGCAGGTGGGGGTGGTCCGGGCACAGGAGGCGGGCGGAGAGCAGGAGCCGCAGGGGAGCCAGGCTGGCCAAGCTGGGAAGTGGGCACGTTTGTCTCGGGCAGCCGCCTGACACGCCCGGGAACAGGCTCTGCCCCAAGGCCTAAAATGAGGGGAGGGAAGAGGAGGAAATGGGGGTGGGGAGGATGGCGAGGACGGAAGGGGCGGGGCACGGTGGTGGGCGCCGTGTTGGCGGTGGGCGCGGTGCAGCAGCGTGCCTGTGGGTTCTCTTCATTTAGTCCTCAAAACAACCTTGCAGCGGGTTGTGCTTGTCTCTTTTCACAGACGGAGAAAAATGGTTGCGGGGAGACCGCTCGTGGTTTCCCCTCGGCTTTTGTTCAGCACCGAAGGGGCAGCGTCTGCTCTCAGAGTGGGGTGCCCAGGAGCGCCTGAACTTCATCCCAGCGGCCCCAAAGTGCTGACCATGGCTGTGTCCGGGCATCTCCATCCTCATCCCGTCTGTGAACTAGCTCCTTCTGTGCCAGGCACCCCAAATACAGCCAGGAGACTTCAGTTCCAGTTTCTGCCCCAACACTTCCTGTGTGGCGCTCGGACAGTCATTTACCTCTCTGGGCCTCGACTGCCTCATTGCTTTGTGCCTGTTTAGGTGAGCAGATCCTGAGCTGAGGAGATTTTCTCTGCAGCCTCCACACCTGGGCCTTAGGCCACATGCTGCTCCTCATCCCACACCTGCTCTCTGGTTAATGTCACCCTTGGCCCTTGGCAGTCCCCAAGGGCGCCACGGGACTGGCCTCTCGCTTCACCACCCTAGCCACCCCCCCGCCCCACCCCGCACCATCACCCGAAGCTCATCCTCTGTCTTAAAAAAAATCTCCTATTCACCCACTGAGTAAATTCATTACCTACCTCAGCAGGCCATGGAGGGGATTAGGCAGGATGGTGGACAGAAGGTATTGCCCGGTGTTTGGTAGATGCTGAAGAAAGGCTAGTTCTTTTTTTTTTTTATCAGTCCCTCTTTTGCTATGAAAGGTATGAAGTGATCTGAAAATGTGAGTGTCAGCCTGGCACTGAATCCCAGCACTTTGCTAGGCCGAGGCGGGTTGGATCACCTGAGGTCAGGAGTTTGAGAGACCAGCCTGACCAATATGGTGAAACCCTGTCTCTACTAAAAACACAAAAATTAGCTGGTCGTGGTGGCGGGCGCCTGTAATCTCAGCTACTTAGGAGGCTGAGACAGGAGAATTGCTTGAACCTGGGAGGCAGAGGTTGCAGTGAGCCAAGATGGTGCCACTGTACTCCAGCCTGGGCAGCCTGAGTGAGACTCCATCTAAAAAAAGATAGAAAGAATGGAAAGAAAGGAAAGACAGACAGAAAGGCAGAAAGACAGAAGGACAGAAAGAAAGAAGAAAGAAAATGGGAGTGCCACTGTGATACAGTTGGATTCCTGAGCCTGCCTTCTCACCTCCCTACCCCTCATGTATCCCAATCCCCACCCCAGGGACTAGGGCTTTAAAACAGTCTCTCACCCAGTCCCCATCACATGGCCTGGGGCCAGGCTCTCACAGCCTGCTGGGTGGTGGTATGCTAAAGTGGTTAAGCACAGAGGCTCCAACCCCAGTTCTGCCACTAACTAGCTGTGTGACCTGGACCAAGTTGCTTAATCTCTCTGTGCTTCAGCCTCCTTGTCTGTAAAATGGGGGTGATACTAGATACTATACTTCAGAGGCTTGTTATGAGAATTACATTAATTTTTGTATGTAAAATAGAACAGTGCCTGGCCAAACAGAAAGCAAAATAAACAAAGAACCCACGAAAAGGCATTCAACAAATATTAGCTTTTGTAATTATTGCCTAGAATATAATAATAACCCCCTAAATAGTGTCTTCCTGCTTCCAGTTTCATCCCCTCTGAAACATTCTCCCCTCAGTGCCCAGATAAGTTTCTCGGTTGCTCCTGGTTGCTCCTGTGCAGGATTGCCAGATAAAAGACAGGAAGGTCAGTTCACATTCAAACTTAACTGGAGGTCTGGTATTCCTGTTTGCTAAATTTGGCAATTCTACACCCATGCTTGAAAATTGCCCCTGGTTCTCCAATACCTTTAAAAGAAAATCTAAGCTTTGTAGCATGACGTTCAAGCTCTCCATGATTTAAGCCCCTGCCCTCACCATTTAATCTTGCCTCTTTATTTCTTATCACCCACAGCCCCCTCATCGTCTGCTCCAGCCACTTCCAACTGCCTTCCTGGAATCCCAGAGAATGAATTGGAGCATTCTGGAGCTAGGCAGAGCATTTGCCACATTTTCAGCTAAGGCAGTTGGGGCCCAGAGAGGTTAAGGGCCTGCTCAATGCCACATAGCCAGTGGATAAGGCCTACGGTGCTCTTACTGGGACCTCAAACCTTCACTCTGAATCACCAAAAGCCACTGTCAGGCCAGAGGAGGACCCTCTTGAAACAAACATATTAGCTTTGAAATCCCTG